GCCACGGTGGCTCAAGTCTGTAATCCCAGTACTTTGGGAGGCCGAGGTGAGAGGACTGCCTGAGCTCAGGGGTTCGAGGCCAGCCTGGGAAAGTTGGTGAGACCTCATCTCTACAATAAATAAAAAAATAAGCTGGGTGTGGTAGTGCATGCCTATAGATCCAGCTACTTGGAAGGCTGAGGCAGAAGGATCACCTGAGCCCAGCAGGTCGAGGCTGCAGTGGCCATGAGCAGCGCTCCACTGCACTCCAGCTTGGGCGACAGAGTGAGACTTCAACTCAAAGGAATAATAATAATAATATAGAAATATATAAATAATATGGGAATTTTAAATTAAAGAATAAAGTTAGCCCAATGTTGACAGTTTCCTGTGTTATCCCTTGAGAAACAGTTTATCTTTATATCAGCATATGTATATTCCTCCTTCCCATATACATACCTGGCATCATTCTACACACAATGTTCTGCAACCTGCTTTTGCACTTAATAACATATGTGGAGATGCCTCCTCTACAGTACATATCACATTCTTATTAACTACTGCACAGGCTGGGTTAGGTGGCTCAGCCTGTAATCCCAGCACTTTGAGAGGCTGAGGCGAGTGGATTGCCTGAGCCCGCAGATTTGAGACCAGGCCGGCAACTTGGCAAGACCTCGTCTCTACAATAAATCAAAAATTAGCTGGGCATGGTAGCATGGGCCTGTAGTTCCAGCTACCTGAAAGGCTGAGGCAGAAGGATCGCTGGAGCCCAGCAGGTCTACACTGGGGTGGCCGTGAGCGTGGCCGTGAGCATACCACTGCACTCTAGCTGGGCGATGGATTGAGACTCCAACTCAAACAAACAACAAAAAGAAACCGCACAGCATTCTATGGCAAGGAAGTTACTTACTGCATTTACCTTGATCCACTGATAGGCATGTAATATGTACCCAGTTTTTGAACACACTGAAAACAATTCAGTCATGCATATGTGTGTGTGTGTGTGTGTGTGTGTGTGTGTGTGTGTGTGTCCCATGCAGTTCTTTTGTGAGTCTATTTTTTGGATAAGTTTTCAGCAATAGGATTGTTAAGGCAAAGGTGTAGTATTTTAAACTTGGATGAACAGAGCTAAACTGCCCTCCAAACAGATTGCACCAATGCACACTCCTCAACCCACAATACCATCTTTTCCTCACACCTTGATTACTTAGGAGTGTAGATTTCATCCCTTAAGAGAGACATTGAGATTCTTCTCCAACAGTGAGAGAGAGAGAGAGAATGAATGAATGAATGAATGTTGGGTGTTTCTTTCAGGACAGTTTCTTTATCCATCCATAAAGGATCCCGCAAATTAAGGAACTGGCTCTCTATCATGCAGTTTCTATTTATCTTTTCTTTGTTTCTGGAATTCTTTCCAAACAAAGGCTTTGGGGGTTGTTTTTATTTTTTTGGTAGTGAAATTTGTTGATCTTTTTCTTTATGGCTTCTGGGTTTTATGTACTACTTAGAAGGCTCTCTTCAATGCAAGATTACAAATATATTCACTGTAAGCACTTTTTAAAACAAATATTTCAGAAAAGTAACAATAATGGTCTGGCAATCCAAGCTTTTTCTGATAGAAACAATAGTCAAAGTCAATTTAAAAATATGCTTCAGGCAACCCCCTCGGGTCCCATTCCACTGTGGGTGCTTTTCTGTCCTCTCAATAAATCCTGCTTTCAAAAAAATTTTTAAATTAAAATAAAAATATGCAACATGTGATATCAGACTCAATTTCCACAGCTATTATTATCATGGCAGGTAGAAAGAGACTCTACTCAGTTGCATAGTCTGAAACTCCCCAAACCCTGACTTGCTCTGAAGCTCACACACATTTGCACACATTCTTTAGGTGTGTTCCTGGCTATATTTTCATGATAATGGAGAGGTAGACAAAGATAGAACACCGGAAAGATACACATGTGTAAGATGACCATTTGAGAGATGGTCTAAAGCTGTACCACAGTTGAGAAATTCCCAAGGACAAGAGCTTTCACAAGAAAAACAGTGCAAGTTGATTGCTTAGATCTTTTGGTATCGACACCCTACTTCACTAGGAATAGTCCAGAACATACTGTTCTGTGATAAAGGAAGACAGAAAACAAATTCATCAATTAACAAAAAGACTACCTTTGACAGAGTAAAAGTAAAACTCAGCACAGCACGTTATCTAAAAACAAAGTGTGTGCATGTCTGTGTGTGCGCATGTGTACCCATGCAAGTGTGGATATGTTCTCAACTGTCTGCAGGGAGAGTTCAGCTGAGGCAGACTAAGGGAATTTAAAAGCTGGTATAACACCATCTGCTAGGGTCTGGGGTATTTTTTTTAGATTGGAAAATATAGTTTATTTAGAAAGTAAATTAGAGAGGGAGAGAGAAAAGATTCACCACCCCAATGTAGGAGAGGGGGGCCAAAGCTTAGGAAAACAAGGCCCAACCAGGATTCAAAAAGCCGCATGACTGGGCCAGGGCTTTAAAAAAGCATGGTGTTGCTAGGTTCTTTATGGTACTCTAACACTTCCTAACAAATTTAATGAAGACCATTATTTGTTAACATATTTTTATTGTGTATGTACAAAACGAAAGCGCTTGTGCAGCCTATATTTTTCAGTTCCGTCCAAAATAACAAAAAATAATCTACTAGCAACAAATGAAGTTTACAGATCCCAAATATCTTGCTTATAGAATAATTTTCCAATTTTAGAAGAGCAGCTTCCGGGCCGTGTTCGGTGGCTCAAACCTGTAATCCCTAAACTTTGGGAGTTCAAGGTGAGGGGACTGTCTGAGCCCATGGGTTTGAGAACAGTCTGGGCAATTTGGCAAGACTTCATCTCTACAATAAATTAAATGGCCGGGTTCAGTGACTCAGCCTGTAATCCCAGCACTTTGGGAGGCCAAGGCGAATGAATTGCCTGAGCTTGCCAGTTCGAGACCAGCCTGAGAAACTTAGTGAGACCTCGTCTCTACAATAAAATAAAAAAATAGCTGGGCATGGTAGCACACAACTGTAGTTCCGGGCTACTCGGAAGGCTGAGGAGGAAGGCTCGCTGGAGCCCAGAAGGTCAACGTTGAGGTGGCCGTGAGTGTGCATGCCACTGCACTTCGGAAGGCTGAGGCAGAAGGCTTGCCTGAGCCCAGCAGGTTGAGGCTGCAGTGGTCATGAGCATGCCACTGCACTCCAGCCTGGGCAATGGAGTGAGACTCCAACTGAAAAAAAAATTGCAGCTTCCTGGACCCCATTCCCAAATACTGTAATCCAGCCTCTCTATAAAAGTCCAAACATCAGCATTTTAAAAGTTCCATGACTGATCCAGGTTTGGGAACCACTGCTCTTTGGAAAAGGTCAGGCAGCCTCTTATATAGGGGCTTCCATCTTTTAATAATTCCTCGTACACTGGTTTTCACATCTTCCCATTCACAGAGCTGAGAATGCAAGGATCATTTCCTGTAGAACACAAATTCCATCCTCTGTGATGACAAGTCACATCATGATATTAGTATGTTCACTCTCGGGATGCTGAAAAACTTCACCCTTCCTGGGACCTAAACTTCTTTCAAGGAATGACTTAGATTGTGAAAATTTTGTTCATGACCCACAGCCATAAAAAGGGAACTAACTCTTTTTTGACTTAGAGAAGCCCTCGATTAAACACACACACACACACACACACAGACACACACACACACACACACACACAAAAAATACGAAAATGATTTTTCTGATTCTAAGATGAAATAAAAGACAAGATGTACTCTTTCTGTCCAGCAAGCATATGAGTATGTTTAGCAATTTAAATAGGATCTACAAAAACTAGATGAAACAATGATCCCTAAAGGTCAAATTAACATTAATTCATGCTGACTCAAGTAAGAAGACCAATATGAAGCCAGACAAAAATATCTCAGCTCATCATGCAGCCACTGGAAAATGAGTAAAAATTATCATTTCTATTAAATGACAAAGAAGGCGTCAGAGATAGTTCAGTCAACTCCAGCAATGCATTCTACTCAGGTCATCACTGTGTTTAAGTTCAAGATGTTATTGGCTAAAATGTTTAGGAGTTGTTACGCCTCTATAATGTAATTTTCAACAATAAGAATTTGTGGTAGTTACAGTACCGACAGTGTAATTTTAGCCAGATGCTTTTCCCAATTTTTAAATTTATTTTTAGCCTACCACATGGCTTCAGTGGAAACTGAAAATGATAGTTAGACACAGTTTTCATCACATATGCAGAGTGAAAATAGTAACACTTGGTGGATTTTGTGCAGATTATTTTTTAGGAAAGCAATAAAGTGCATTGTGAAATAATATAATTTAAATATGCTAATGTTACTATCCAAAGTGTCTACAAGCAAGTAGGAAAGATCAAGAAAAGCAACACCATCAGCTACAATAGTCTAAATATACTGTAGCATCTTGTTTAGCAGCTTTTACTCGGAAGACCCTAACATTCTTTATCTAAAATTAGTTGTCAATGAAACAGTATAAGTGGCCAACATTTCTGAATTATGTTTTTATGAATTGTCATAATTGACTGAAACTAGAAGATACTTTCTCTCTCTCGTGCAGAGAGACATATATATACACACATACTCTCTGACTTTAATGAGAAGTAATAAGTTGTCTTTGGTTTGGTTTGTTTGTTGTCTGAATTTGCTCAGATAGCATCAGGTGGATTTGTGAGCAGGTAGATAAAACCAATTAGCAAATTGTTGAGAAGACCACCAAACTCAAACGGTACAGGTTTCATAATCAATTTACTTGCCCTTTACTTGGAATAATGCCTTCCTCCTCAGTAATGAGAATCACAAAAAGGGAAGGGATATTCCTGCTAATCTAGAATCTGCATGTGAGGACATATCGAGGACCTTTTGCTTTGCACTAAAGTCACTCTCAAAAATTAATGTCCTGTAATCATGCATAGGAAAATTGGAGGGCAAAGAGTTTATTGGGAAGCTATAAACTAAGATTCACTTACTGGAGATGTGGTTAGTCGAAGGATAGTGCCATTTTTTATTTCATTGCGATTCTGGAAGAGAAAAAAATAACTTTGTAAATTTTCAAGTAGAAGCTCACTAAAGAAGAGAACAAAGGCAAATATAATCTAATACATCCTCCACATATTAAGTATTCTTATGATTCAGTTTATTCACACGAGTAAATTTTAGTTAGTTCTACAAAGAATGCTAACTTTCTATTAAGTCATTGACAACACTCAGCACAGAGGAAGTGAATGTATACTCAAAGAAAAAATAGAGGGCCCAAGCATTACAAATGAAAAATGTAATTTTAAAAGGTTATTAAGGGCATATGAAGAAGCGATTATACTCTTATGTATATACTCAAGAGAACTGAAAATATACGTATACCCACACAAAAAGTTATGCACTGATGTTCACAGAAACATTATTCATAATAGTCCCAAAGTGGAAACTCGCACATTCATCAATTGAACAATATATTTCTTCATATGTGTCTACATAAACAAATTGTGGTATATCCATTCAATGGAAAATTAGCAGATCATAAAAGGGAATGGAGTACTAATATGTGCTACAACACGAATGAACCTGGAAAACATCACACTAAATGAAAGATGCCAGACACAAAGGCCAAGTATTATATGATTCCATTTCTATGAAATGTCCAGAATAGGCAAATCAATAGAAACAGGCATTAGATAAGTAGTTGCCTAAGGCTGGGGGAGACGGGAGAGGAGAATGGCAATGACTGTTTAATGGGTTCAGGTTTTCTTTAGAGGTGTTGCAAATGCTTTGGAACTAGATGGCTGCACAACCTTGTGAATGTACCAGATGCCCCGAATTGGACATCTTTTTTATTTTTTATTTTTTGAGTTGGAGTCTCACTCTGTCACCCAGACTGGAGTGCAGTGGCTGCTCCCAGCCACCTCAGGCTCAACCTGCTGGGCTCCGGCGAGCCTTCCACCTCAGCCTTCCAAGTAGCTGGAATTACAGGCATGCGCTACCACGCCCGGCTGATTTTTTGATTTATTGTAGAGATGAGGTCTTGCTGCCCAGGTGGGTCTCGAACCCGCGGGCTCAGACAATCCACTAACCTCAGCCTCCCAAAGGTGCAGGATTACAAGCTGAGCCACCGAGTCCGGCAAATTGGACATCCTTAAAGGGTGAATCTTTATGTAAAGTATATCTCAACAAAGCTGCTAAGTTGTAAAATTATTAAGGAGCTTGGTTTCTTAACATTTGCTGGTTCCTTTGGTGTGTTGCCTTGAAGTCAAGAACAAACAGCATAAATGAGTAGATCTCAAATTAGTCTGCCTTCATTTGGTAAGTATATCTGGAGTGAGTGTTTTGAAGCCATCATTTAGCATCTTTGACACCGAAGCCTTCACCGACAGTTTTATTTTCTTTCACCAGAGTATGCATTGCACTCAGTGTCCAGAAGGTGGCCTTCCAGGACTCACCTTGGTTGTATCCCCTACCTGGTACACTGAGAACAGGAGTTTAATAAACATATCTGGTCCTCGCTTTGGCAGCACATATACTAAAATAAAATTGTCCTGAGGATCACTCAGCTGCATAGTTTAAGATAAGCCACAAGCTGGAATCTACTCAGGATGCAGCAGACACACTGATTTGGCAGATGATTTGTGCCAAAGACATAAGATCACTTGCTCCCTCAGCCAATTTTGATTACTTACTGGACGATGAATTTTCCAACAGAAATATCTGAAAGAGGGAGGGCATAGGACAGTACTCTGTCCCAAAGAAAAAGATGTCTGAATGTTTCATACCCAACACTGCCAGATCTGAACATGACGTTTGTAATCCTGTCCAACGTAGAGCGACCTGGACACACTGGGCCACCTCAGGAGAGAGCCAGATCCCCATTACCAGGAGTGTGTAAGCATGTGCTGAATTATTCTACTTGCAGGCAGGCTCAGATAGGAGATGGCGAAATGAATTCAAGTCACTTCAAAAAAATCCCTTTTTGGCTGGGCTCAGTGGCTCAGCCTGCAATCCCAGCACTTTGGGAGGCCGAGGTGAGAGGATTGCCTGAGCCTACAGGTTCAAGACCAGCCTGGGTAACTTGGCGAGACCTCGTCTTTACAATAAATCAAAACTTAGCTGGGAGTGGTAGCACGCGCCTGTAGTTCTGGCTACTTGGAAGGCTGAGGTGGAAGGATCGCCGGAGCCCAGCAGGCTGAGGCTGCAGTGGCCAAGAGGCATGCCACTGCTCTCCAGCCTGGGTAACAGAGTGAGACTTCAATTCCAAAAAAAAAAAAAAAAATTCCTTTTCAACTCTAAAATCTATGACTCTATGAGAACTGAAGAGGAAGATAGCAAATACTAATTACAGAGTACTAAGAAAGTCAAATACATAGCGTGCCATTCCTTTGCTCAGCTTCTAAACAAATTGAGAACACAAGAGAAGATGGAAAACTAAAATATCCTATTAGTGATTATACAGAACAAGGCTCAGAGTGAGAACTGACAGGCTAACTGAACCCTCAGATCATGCATGCCCGTTCAGGTAAGACTTAAGGCAGATTCCTTCCTAAGAGAGAAAAGGGCCCAGTTTATTCTTCCCAAATTTCTTTTCACATAGGGAAAGAGGCCCTGAGTGTATGAGTCTAGAAGACTTGAGAAATAATCTGTCCTCATGGATATCCAATGCTGTAACGAGGCATTTCTATGAATAGCAGTAAACTAACATTTATGGAAAGGTTTGGGCTGGGGACTTTTGGTTTTCATGCTCATTTCCTTTTATTTTTTGAGATAGGGTCTCATTCTGTAGTGCAGGCAGGAGTGCAGTGGCACAATCATAGTTTACCATAGCCTCGACCTCCTGGACTCAAGTGATCCTCTCCATCTCAGCTTCCTAAGTGGTTGGGACTGAGGTATGTGCCACGAAGCCTGCCTAATTTTTAAAAAAAAATTTTGTAGAGATGTAGTCTCACTATGTTGCTCAGGCTGGTCTCAAACTCCTGGGTTCAAGCAATACTCCACCTCAGCCTCCCAAAGTGCTGGGATTACGAGTATAAGCCACCATGCCTGGCCTTCATGCTCATTTAACCACCATAAGCACTCTATACTCATGTTAAAGATAAGAAACCAAAACTACTGAAAGGATAAGTTATTTGCCTAATATCACAGAGGGAAACAGGAGGACTCAAACCCAGACAATCTGACACCAGAGGCTATGCTCTATCAGCCTGGAAAAGGTAAGACCCAGATCTTGCACATTTATCCTTAAAGGCATGAGTTCATCAGTCGGTCAACATACATGAAAGCAGACAAGAAAGCCTGGTGTTAAGGACTGCTCATGAATGCCCAGAGCTTTCCTGCCCTACCCAGGACTGCACACAAGCTGTCATGCAGGAGTAGGACTGGGAGGAAATTGAGCATTGCGTTCTAGGCTCCCATGTGGATACCTGTAAGGTTCACTCCTTATTTCCTAGAACCTATGCGAGATTGCTTTGAAGAAAGGGGCTTGAGAATTGCTTGTTTATTTGTATGTTTAAAACCAAAGCATTACTAAAATCTCTAAGAAAGCGGGGCTCAAATTCCTGCTTCTCTTTGCAGCAGGTGAGTGGACTCAGTGCAAGCTATTTAACCAGTCTGATCTATGTTTTCTGTCCCCTAAAGTGGGAAGAACAGTCTACTGCTTAGAGAGGTACAATAAGAACAAGAGGTGATGACATACGTGCTGTGTCTGGCCTAGAACTTGATCTGGAATGGAAGTGATTCCTGCTGTTCCAGACAGAGCAGCACCCATCCCTCCACCTGTGCCTTCTCAGTCAACAGTTCCTTTACCTTCGCTCTCTTCCTTTCCTCATGTTTTCTAATCAAAGACTATATTTTGGAAGAAAAGGAGATACATAAAAGAAATACTAACATATGCATTGAAAGCTGTAAAGTCCTGAAAGAAATGTAAATCAAACTCAGAGAGAAAGGCACTGGCAAGCCACAGTTTCTAAGACTATATTCTATCAGGAAAATTAACTGGATCACAGCTCTTTCACCATGTGCTGATGACACCTTTGGCTCTGTAAGAAAGGCCTGACATGGAATGTAAACTTCGGTAACAAAGGAAAAGGTTTGTCATTGCTCTGATTTCATAAATTCCACCCCAGTAGCATAGAGCATGACTGAGACGTGATGGAACCACCTGGATTGGAAACACATTTCACTTCCTAGCTGGGAAGCTGGGTGCAAGTCACATGGCTATCCTCTGTCCCAGATTTCCCATGTGGAAAATGGGGAGAATGCCTATTTCCTATGGTGGTTCTGAGGAATAAAAGAGATAATCCATTTAAAGCACATAGAACAGTGTCTGGCACACTGCAGACACTAAAAAAAAAAAAAAAGAAGACAGCTGTTTATTTTTAAGCACAAAAATAGCATCCAAAGAGCACATTGTTGTACACTTACTTATCTTTAGCTAGTCCTTATAAATGATCTGATAAATAAAAATAATAGTACACTGCACCTCTCTAAGCAATCTATGTTACCTCAAGTTCAGTAGCACACACCCAGTAGGATAACAAATATTAGCAAATGTACACTATCTATAAGCAGACCAGCATGGCTAGACTGCTTCACACTGGGGGCTAGGAAGCTCTCACTTTTAATCCTACTCAGTCTTCTGTCTGTTTTACAGGAGCACTCCTTGCTACAGTCTTCCAAGCATTCAATAACTGCTGTGTGTGTGTGTGTGTGTGTGTGCGCGCGCACATGCACACATGTATGATGTTAGTTATGCATTTTTTTTGTTCACTGTCTCCCTCCACCACCAGAATGTCACCTCCATAAGAACACATAGTTTATCACTATAATATCACTACTATCTAGAACAGTGACTGGCACATGGCTGGCACTCAGAAGCTGTTTGTTGAATAAATGGCCAAGCTACTATATGGCCAGGCCATACATACACAGGGCAGATACAAAGTTAAGTGGGGCAATTTTCCATCCTCTGGGATTTTAATAAAGTGAGAGAGACTGACATATAATAATTATATCTATACCACGGCAAAGTCGTGGGGAT